CCTTAATATCAGAGGAACTGTCACAGCAACCCCAAAAGAAAAAGGTATTTGTGTCTCTTGTGTGGTTATTTCGCGCAACCCAATTAGCCCAGTTTCCCTGGAGTTATCTCTGAGTTTTAGTCGGGCAATTCACTATTCTTTGATACTAATCTCCCTGAAATATCAGAAAAATGTATCTTACCAAATGCCCAGTTGATATCTATGCCGATGGTTCTACAGAATGCATCCTACAGGACTTAACTGGGATAATTTTCCCAAATGTTCACTCATGTGATGCTTTATCTCTTGGCAGGATCTCCCAGCCATCCAGCCCCGGCTAGTAGCAGTCAGCAAAACCAAACCAGCAGATATGGTGATTGAGGCCTATGGTCACGGCCAGCGCACTTTTGGAGAGAACTATGTAAGAACCCTCTCCCAGAGAGCCTTTGAAAGAGTCATGATTGCCAGGCTTCTGACGTTCTGTTTTTACCCTTTAGGTTCAGGAACTTCTAGAAAAAGCATCAAATCCTAAAGTAAGTGGATATCAGAAGTCTCCTGTTTGTATCTGAATCTTGACCCTTTAATTGAAAATTAGATTCCTTGTTGGTGGTTAAGCAGGAAATTGGGCTGGAGTAAAAAATTTTAGTTCATTTCTGCCTTCTGTCCCAAATACTCAGATTTTTCTGTCTTTATTCACACTATTGTTTTCTCTTTTGTGGCCATTTGGAAATGGTATTTTTGTTGTTGTTTTGTTTTTGGTACTAGGGATTAAAACCAGGGGTACCTCATTGCATTTTATATTCAACTATACCCCTAATCCATTTTATTTTTTATTTTGAGACAAAGTCTCATGATACAACTGAGGCTGGACTCAAACTTGCAGTCTTCCTACCTCAGCCTCCTGGTTTTCTGGAATCGCAGGTGTGCACCACTGTGTCTGGAAAGAAGTGATGATTTTTAAGAGCTTGCTGTAATCCTCTGTCCTTTTGAGATTTGAAAGCTTAAATCAGTTCATCCTTAAAGGGTAATATCTAAAAGATGGAGAAAGTAGATGGGAACAAGGAAGGCACACAGTAGAAGCCTTAGATTTTTCTTTTAAGTTTCCTTTTGCCTCATTAAGAGATGGCAATAGCAGTTTATTACATTTAAGGGACAGAGCAGATTGAAAGGTCACTAGAAGTGTGCAAATTATTTGAACTGGAGAGGCCTCCATAAAACATGAGTCAAACATGGTTATCTTTTTCACTTCAGATTCTGTCTTCATGTCCTGAGATCAAATGGCATTTCATTGGCCACCTACAGAAACAAAACGTCAACAAATTGATGGGTAAGATGAAACTCTAAATATGAAAACAAAACTACTGCAACATCATATGGCTTAGGCTACCTTCTATGTAAGAGAGCAACTTACTAGAGCATACCCAATTCACCATGTGTATTGTTGAATTTTTTAAAATAATATTTAGAAAAGTAAAATTAAGAATTAACTATAGGGGCCAGGTGCAGTGGCACACATCTGTTATCCCAGTGGTTTGAGAGGTTGAGGCAGGAGGATGGCAGGTTCAAAACCAGCCTCAGCAACTTAGGCCCTAAAGCAACTTAGTGAGACCCTGTCTCTAAATAAAATATTTTTAAAAGCCTGGGGGTGTGACTCTATAGTTAAGCACCCTTGAATTCAATCCCTGGTACAAAAAAAAATTAACTTCAGGGTTGAGGGTTATACTTCAGTAGTAGCACACTTGCCTAGCATGTACAAACTCCTGGGTTTGATCCCCAGCACCAAAAAAAAAAAAAATTAACTATAGAAAGGTTTAACTATATGATAGTGACAGATGGAGATCTTGAGGAACTGAATTTCTCTCAAGGTATCAAAACTAAACTATTTTTTTAACAGCTTTATTAAAATATAATTGATAAAAGTATAATTGACTTATGATAAATTGCACATATTTAAAGTGTACAATTTGATAAGTTTAGGCATAAGTTTATACCTGTGAAACCATCGCAATTAAAAAATCAACATATCCATTTCCCCAAAAGGTTTCCCCCTGTCTCTTTGTGATCCTTCCCTTCTTGCTCCTCCCCATTTCTCTTGCTCAAGTGCCTCTTACCTGCTTTATCACTGTAAACTAATTCACAATTTTATAGTTTTACGTATATTTGTCATTCAGCATAATAAATTTGAGATTCATCATGTTCGTGCATGTGTTTAGCAGTTTGCTCCTCTTTACTGTTTCTCTTTATTTTATTCCATTGTATAAATATGTCACAATTTCTTTATCCATGGATCTGTCAAAAATTTGACTCACTTGTAATTTTTATCTGTTACAAGAGAGTTGCTGTGAACATTCATGTACAAGTCTTTGTATGGACATATATTTTCTTCTCCATTGGAGTAAAATACTTAAAAGTAGAATGACTGATTCACATAGTGTATGTCTAATGTGTAACTTTTTTTTTTTCTTTTTAGTGCTGAGGTCTAAACTCTGTACTGCTCTTTTATCTCTACCTTTTTGGGGGAGGGGTGGGGGGTACTGGGGATTGAACCCAAAGAAGCTTTATCACTAAACTACATCCCCAGTCCTTCTATTTTTTTTTTTTTTTCAGACAGTTCAGATAAGATCTCACTGAGTTGCTGAAGATCTTGCTGAGTTGCTGAGCCTGGACTCAAATTTGTGATCCTCCTGACTCAGCCTCCCAAGTGCTGGGATTACAGACACATGCCACTGCACCCAGCAATCTTTAGATTTTAAGAAACTGCCAGCTGTTTTCCAAAATGGTTGTGCCACTTTAAATTTCTACCAGCATTGTTGAAGTTCTTGATAACAGTATATGGTCAGTCCTTTTTTTGTAGTTGTGGGGATCAAACCTAGCTTTGAACGTGTTATGCAAGCACTCTACCACTGAGCTACATCTCTAGCCCCAGTCTTTTACTTTTAGCCATTCTAATAGGTATGTGACTAATTTGATAGTGCATGGCTATAATCCCAGCAATGAAAGGCTGAGGTGGGAGGATCACAAGTTCAGGGCCAGCCTCAGTAACTTAGCAAGGCCCTAAGTAACTTAGCAGGACCTTGTTTCAAACTAAAAAAATAAAAAGGGCTGGGGATGTAGTTTAGTGATAAAGCATCCCTGGTTTAAATCCCCAGTACCCCCTTCAAAAAATAAAATAAAGGACTGAAGATGTAGTTCAATGGTAACCTCTCAATTCAGTCCTTATTACAAAAAAAAAAAATAAAAGAAGAAGATGATGATATGGAGTCAAGTCTTTGCATTTATCTAATGGCTAGTGATGTTGAACATCTTTTCACCTGTTTACCATCTTTGATGTCTACATATTTTCAGGTGTCTTAAGTCTTTTGCCCATTGTTTTTCTTTTTTTTTTTTTCCTGTTGCTGGGGAGTGAACCCTGAACCTCACACATGCCTGGCAAACACATATCTACCACTGAGCTATATCCCCAATCCTCTTTTGCTTATTCGTTAATTGGATTGTACTATTACTATTGAAACTAGAGAGTTCTTTGTACTGAATATAAGTCCTTTATCAGATATGTGCTTTGCAAATATTTTCCTCCAGTCTATGGTTCTCTTAACAGTGTCTTTTGAAAAACAATTTTAATTTGATGAAGTCCAATTTATCAGTTTATTCTTTGTTGCTGGGATACAAATGTACACCACTGCACCTGGCTTGTAATATTTTTATATTATCCTTTTAATATCTTTAGAATCTCTAGTAAGGTCAACTCTCTCCTTCCTGATATTGGTAATTTGTATCTTCTCACTTTCCCACTAATCCCATCTAGCTAGAGATTTATCAAATTATCTACTGTCGGGGACACCCTGAACAGGAGCTGGGCACACACTTTTGAGTCCTGAGTAATGAGGTATTGGACTGGTATTGTACTCTGCAATGCAAGTGGACTTTACCTCCGGCTCAGATTAGAAAGGTGCATCTCTGGGAGTGGGCATCACCAATGGGGTTGAATTACACCCACCTGTTTGTTGTAATCCTACCCTTTTGCCCTTATTTGGATAGAGTGTTCCATGGATTAGCTCCCCTCAGAAATAAAAGCTGAACCTCAGAATGTGCCCCCTCTCTCACACCAGCCTCTCGTGTCTTTCTCTTGCCCCATTTTGCGGGAGCTTGAGGCTGTGAGACAGCGAAGCTGTCCTGACGCCCAGAAAAAGGTATTTCCGTGTCTTCGTGATCTTTTCATGTCACCCCAATTTCACTCCAGCGACCCGGGTTCAGTAGTCTGTGCTGGACAGAGCCTACAATCTACCTAATTTTTTCTATTATTCTATTATTATAATATGTTGTCATATAAACAAAAATATGTATTCTGGGGTTTATCACATGTGAAAGCAAAATGCATAACAACAATGACATTAAGAATAGGAGAGGGCTGTGGTAGAGCGCTTGCCTCACACACGACCTGGGTTCGATCCTCAGCACCACATACAAAAATAAACAAGTGAAATAAAGGTGTTGTGTCCAACTACAACTAAAAGAAATAAATATTTTTTAAAAAAAAAGAAGGAGAGAAAAATACAGTGTTGTAAAGTTTTTGAACTATATGTGAAATGATGATATACCCCTTGAAGGTGAACTGTTAAACCCTAAAGCAACTAATAAAATCACTTAATAGGGGCTGGGGATGTGGCTCAAGCGGTAGCGCGCTCGCCTGGCATGCGTGTGGCCTGGGTTCGATCCTCAGCACCACATACAAACAAAGATGTTGTGTCTGCCAAAAACTAAAAAAATAAATATTAAAAAAAAATTCTCTAAAAAAAATCACTTAATAAAGAGTTATTGCCATTGCCAAGCACACTAGCGCACACAGAGGCTGAGGCACAAGGATCACACATTCAAGGCCAATCTGAGCAACTTGGTGAGAGACCTGTCAAAAATTTTTTAAAAGGGCTACGGCTGTTAGTTCAGTGGTAAAATGCTTGCCGGGCATACGCAAGGACCAGGATTAAGTCCCCAGTACTACACACAAATACACACACACACACACACACACATACACAAGAGTTATGGCTAATAAGTCAACAAAGGAACTATGGAATCATAAAATATGAAATGGTAATTTTTTTTGCGTAGTGATTTTGATTTTCATTTACCTAATGGCTAATGATATTGAGCATTGTTTCCTGTGCTTATTGATCATTTGTATACTTTGGAGAAATATCTATTCAACTCCTTTGTGCTTTTTAATTTTAAGACAGGGTCGTGCTATGTTGTCCAGGATGGCCTCAAATTCTAAACCTTCCTACCTTATCCTCCCAAATAGCTGGGATGATAGGCATGCACCACCACACCTGGCTATTTCCCCTTTTTTCATATTTCTTATATTTGGGGTTTGATGAATTTCTTGGATCTGTGTGTTTATAGTTTTCATCATATTTAGATATTTTTTAGAAAATTACTAAACAGGCTTAGGATTTAGCTCAGTTAGTAGAGCCCATGTTAGCATGTGCAAACCCTGGGTTCAATCTCCAGCACCATAAAAAAAAGAAAAATAGACTTTTTTTAGGACTATTTGGAGCATTATTATTTCATTTTAAATAATTTCTTCAAGGTAACTAATCTTTTCTTTGGCCATGTCTAATTGGTCATCAGTGAAATTTTTTATCTCATACCTTGTAGTTTTCATTCTAGAAGTTCAATTTGAGCCGAGAACACCTATTATCCCAGTGTCTTGGGAGGCTGAGACAGGAGAATAGAGAGTTCAAAGCCAATCTCAGCAAAGATGAGGCGCTAAGCAACTCAGTGAGACCCTGTCTCTAAATAAAATACAAAATAGGGCTGGGGATGTGGCTCAGTGCTTGAGTACCCCTAAATTCAATCCCCAGTATAAAAAAAAAAAAAAACAAGTAAGTTCAGTTTGAGTCTACATATATATGGGTGTGTGTGTGTACACACACATACCTTCCATGTTTATTTTTTTTTTTAATATATGGGACAGCTATAAGTGTTTGTCTAACCTTTTCTACTAATTCTTTCATTTTTGTCTGTTCTAAATCAGTTTCAATTGATTGATATAACTCCTCATTATGCATCATATTTTTCTGCTGCTTACATACCTGGTAATTTTTGTTTGGATAGCCAGACTTTGTGAATTTTATCTTGTTGAATGGTAGTATTTTTATCTTCCTATTAATATTTTTTAGCTTTTTTCTATAATAGAGTTAAGTTTCTTGGGAATAGTTTGATACTTTTAGGTCTTGCTTTTAAGATTAGTTGGTGTGACTACAGCAGAACTTAGTTTAGGGTTAATTATTCCCTGGTACTAAGGCTAGACCCCTCTGTACTCTAACCATTGCCCTAAATCTTGAGTTTTCCAGCCTGATTGGTGGGAATTGGCACAGTTCCACATCCTATGAGAACCTCAGGCACTGTTTCTTCTTATCTTTTCAAATAATTTTTTCTTAGGCCTTGTGCAATTTCCTCACATGAGTACACTGATCATTGCCCACCTGAATACTTGAAGGGAGACTATTTCAGACCACTGGCATCTTGTGTGCAGCTCCCTCCTCTCTGTCATTCCATCCTGTGAACTATGGCTGCCTTAGTCTTCCTAGGTACTCAGCTCCATTCCCTTAACTCAGAGTCCACCACACTCTACCTCCGTTCCTCTTCACAGTATCATATTCTAGAAAACTCTCTCCAGACAGTAAGCTGGAATAGTTGTGGTGCTCTTTCCATTTGTTTCTCTTTTGTCTTTCATTATGTGATATCTAGTTCTTATAACTATTATTTCATGTACGTTTCTTACACTATTTGTTGTTTCAAAAGATGGGAGGGCAAATCTGGTTCCTGTATTCCATTTTGTCTGGGAGCAGAGGTCTAATGTATTGTTGTTGGAGATACATCATGGCACCAGCATGGTGTTGCATGCTTATAATGCCAGCAACTCGGGGGCTTAGGTGGGAAGATTGCAAGTTTAAGGTCAGCCTCGGCAACTTAAAAAGTCTCAGCAATTCAGTGAGATCCTGTCTCAAAATAAAAAGGGCTAGAGAGGGCTGGGGCTGTAGCTCAGTGGCAGAGCACTTGCCTAGCATGTGTGAGGCACTGGGTTCCATCCTTAGCACCACATTAAAATAAACAAATAAAATAAAGGCATTCTGTCCATCTACAACTACAAAAATAAAAAAAAAAGATTTTTTTAAGTAAGCCTGAAAAATCAAAGGGAGGGGAGCGGTACTGGAGATGTATCTCAGTGGTAGAATGCCCCTGGATTAAATCCCATACACACACACACACACACACACACACACAAATTACTTCCTGCTTGGTTAGTCATTTTAATTCTAGAGCTCATTTATTTCATAGAAATACTTATACATGTGCACAAATTCTACATCTAAGCCTTGTAGTAAAAAAAAAAGAAAGAAAAAACCTAATATGTTCATTAAAAGAGGAATAATTATATAAATTGTGATCATATGTTTATGGAATGCTGTTTTTGTTTGTTTGCTTGTTTGTTAAGTAACAGTGGCTCTATGGTACTAATGTGGAAAAATCTCCAGTATATTTCACGAATGGAAACAGACAACCCATGGAGTGTTTAGTATGATTCAGTTTGTGGTATTTGTTTGTTTGTTTTTTAATGGAGGCTGGCATTGTACATCATTGGTGAGGCCCAGGGTTCAGTCCCCAAGTCCCCAGCATCTATAGATCTGGAAGAACTCTCATCTCAAAGGTCACACAGTAGAATCTTCTAGGGTGAGGGACTTTGACTTTTATTGTACCTGCTCTTTTGTTTTGTTTTGTTTGGTACTGTCGAATCCAGGGGTACTCTCCCACCAGCTCCATCCCAGCCTTTTTTTTTTTTTCTTTTTTCTCCCCAGCCCTTTTCATTTTTTATTTTGAAACAGGGTCTTATTAAGTTGCCCAGGTTAGCTTTGAACTTGTCATCCTCCTGCCTCAGCCACCTGAGTAGCTGGGGTTAGAGGCATATGCCACCATATCAGGTGCTATTACATATATGCTTCTACATTGCTTGATTTTTTTTTTAAATGAAGCACATATACTTTGTCATTTTTTAAAAATTTATTTTCTTAAGCAAAGTAGCCTGAGCTTAAATTCAGTATTAAGAGTATAGAATTCATCTTGTATATCTAAAAAGAATAAATTTTTTAAAAAAGAGTATGGAGGGACTCAGGATGTGGCTCAAGTGGTAGTGCACTGGCCTGGCATGCATGAGGCACTGGGTTCGATCCTTAGCACCACATAAAAATAAAATGAAGATACTGTGTACTAAAAATAAAAAATAAACATTAAAAAAAAAAAAGAGTATGGAATATGGAGGTAAGGGATAGGGTAGAGCAATCCCCAGGACCACAAAAAGAAAAGAAAAGGGAGTCAGTTTGCCTTAATTTAAATCACAATTCTAATATTTGTTAATTTTGTAAACTTGAATTTAAAAAGACTATTCTTTGCCTCAGTTTTCCCTTCTTTACATGGAGATAATAGTATTTCATTAGCTGTTAAAAAGGAATAATTAAGCTGGGCACAGTGGCGCACACCTATAATCTCAGCGGCTCAGGAGGCTGAAGCAGGAGAATCATGAGTTCAAAGCCAGCCTTAGCAATTAGTGAGGCCCTAGGTAACTTATCGAGATCCTGTGTCAAAATAAAACAACAACAACAATAAGAAACATTTTAAAATAAAAAGGAAGGGGACTCAATGGCTAAGTACCCCTAGGTTCAGTCCCTGGTACAAAAAAAAAAAAAAGAATTTAGGCCAGGCACCTGTAGTTCCAACTATTTGGGAGACTGAGGCAGGAAACTTGAGAGGGCAATGCTACCTGGGCAATATGAGACCCTGTCTCAAAAAAAAAAAAAAAGGAAAGAAAAAAATGATTATGTGGGCTAGGGGTATTTTTCAGTGGTAGAGTGCCTGCCTAGTGTACACAAAGGCCCTGGGGTCTATCCACAGAACGGTGGGTAGGGAGTTAAATGCTAAATAGCTGGACCTATAATCCAAGCAACTCAAGAAACTCAAGAAGCTGAGTCAGGAGAATTACAAGTTTGAGGCCAGTTTAGCAACTTTGTGAGATCCTGTCTTAAAAAATAAAAAAATTAGCTCAGTGGTAAAGCACTCCTGGGTACCACAAAAAATAAAATTAAATTAAAAAATAACTAGTTGGTGTTGCCTGTCACTGTTGATCTTTATCTGAGGTAAGCAAGGCTGATACTTCATCTCATGTACACTTTGAAAAAGGAGATGGCTCCAGTGCCTTCAGTGAACCACTTAGCTTTCATTGTTTGGGTCATTTTGATATCCCTGTCACACAAGAACACCTGCATCCCAGAAGGGTTAAGAACACATTGATATCATGTACTCTGGCTTCCACTAGTTAGTCTTTCTTGTCACCTACACCTTTTTCTCTCAGTGTGAACTGAGACTTAATCAGATGAAACCTGTTATTCAGAATCTCTCAAATTACCAGCCTCCTGATTGTGGTGTGTCTGTTTCCCTTTCCATATTCAGCTTTGCTCATGAGCCATTGATGATCTAATGTTTGAACTTAGATCTTGTAAACTCTTGTGTTTGTCTCCTTTTATCTCCTTAGTGGAACTAAGCTTTGAATGTCTTTTTCTTTTCCTGGGATATTTTTCCCTATAGCAGTTCAAAGATTTACTGCATGTTAACTACCTTGCTTCTTTCTTATTTACAGCTGTTCCCAACCTCTTCATGCTGGAAACAGTAGATTCTATGAAGTTAGCAGACAAAGTGAACAGTTCCTGGCAGAAGAAAGGTTCTGCTGAAAGGTTGAAGGTTATGGTCCAGATTAACACCAGTGGAGAGGAGAGTAAGTTACCATCCCTGAATTATAGATTTTTTTTTTCTCCTTTAAGATGACTAAAGATCTCAGAGAATGATGAGCATAAGTATCTGACCCATAAAGTTATAGAAAGAAGTCACAGGCCTCTAAGTTGTTATATGTGTGATATAGAAGTATAATGATATGCAAGCCAGTCCTTATATGATTCTTTAATATGTCCTGGTTTGTTATATCTTAATTTGGGCGAGGAGAGGATGAATCAAGAAGGAATTGTGCAGAGCTGGGAGGGGTGGCAAATGCTTGTAATCCCAGTAGCTTGTAGGCTGAGGCAGGAGAAAATTAGAGACCAGCCTCAGCAATTTAGCAAGGCCCTGTCTCAAAATAAAAAGGGCTGGGGATGCGGCTCAGTGGTTAAGCACCCTTGGGTTCAATCCCTGGTACAAAAAGAAGAAAGGATGTGGATGGGTGCAGTGACACATGCATGTGTAATCCCAGCAACTTGGATGGCTGAGGCAGGAGGATCACAAGTTCAAGCCCAGCCTGGGCAACTTAGTGAGACCCTGTCTCAAAAAATGAAAAGGACTGGGGATATAGCTCAGTGATAGAGCACCACTGAGTTCAATCCTTAGCACCAAAAAAAGAAATTGAGACTCTGATCTCCTGAAAATCCCCAAAGGTCATCATCACTCCTGAAAGGGATTGTAGAGTTACACGAATAATGCATTTTAGGGTTTGAAAAGATTACCTAGTGTTGCATTGGAAGAAAATCAAAGAAAAATCCCTGTGAGTACCAGTCAATGACTATCTTACAAGGCCTGGAATAACAGCTTAACATAGCGAGAAAGATCATGACCTTTAAAATCAGACAGGGTTGAACATCACCACTTTCCAGCTTTGTAATTTGAGGTCCGTTACTTAACCTTCCTGTACCTCATTTTCCTTGTCTGGCAATGGTATCATAATAGTACCCATTTCAGAGAATGTGGCAAGGATTGAATATGGTGATGCAGGCAAAGCTGTAAGCACAGAACCCCGCACATCTTCCTTCTTAGTTTTTTGTTAAAAATAAGTTTTGAAGCCAGGCATTGTGGCACAAGTGTCTGAGTCCAGCCTCAATAATTTAGCAAGACTGTCTCAAAATTTTAAAATGTGGGCAAGCAGGTGGGCCCTGGTGGTATAGTTCATTGATAGAATGCCCCTCGTTTAATCCTGGACCCACAAAAAAAAAAAAAAAAAAAGGCTGGGATGTAGCTCACTGGTAGAGTGCTTCTGAGGGAAATCCCCAGTATGACAAGTAAGTAAATGAGGAAATAAATAAAGGAACTTTTTGGTAGGTAAGTAAGTAAACACACACACACACACACACACATACATATATAAGGTTGGAAGCATCTTTTTGTTAAGAATAAATGTTTGAAGCCAGGCATGGTGGCGCATGCCTATAATTCTAGCCACTTTGGAGGCTAAGGCAGGAGTACCCAGTAGTTTGAGTTTAGCCTTTGCAGTTTAATGAGACCCTGACTCAAAAAGTAAGAAGATTTTGAGATGTAGCTCAGTGGTAGATCATCTTTGGGTTCAGTCCCTATTTCCATGTATTAGGGGGAAAACGGGTGGGGATGTAGCTCAGAGAGCTCTTACCTAACATGTACAAAGCCCTGAGTTCCTCCAGCACTACACAAAAAAATGAATAACAAAATTCTGAGATGGAGTAAAAAGAATCCGATTTATAGCTCTTTCCTTGAGAAATTCAGAACCTGGCTAAAAGGGGAGCAACACAGAACACCAAACCTAAAGTTGCTCCTTAGGACTTGATGATAACGTATTCCATGAGGTCCTCATCTGAGAGTTACCTTCTCTGGTAGAAGAGATGGAAGAAAATGGAGCTCTCCTCCTCTGACTGTTTAAGGCATTTCAGCTTATGTGTCTTCTGTTTCTTTTTGTGAAGGTAAACATGGCCTTCCACCTTCAGAGACAATACCCATGGTGGAACACATAAATACTAAGTGTCCCAGCCTGGAATTCGTGGGACTGATGACCATAGGAAGCTTTGGGCATGATCTTAGCCAAGGACCAAACCCTGACTTCCAGGTACTGGGGGCCAGGAATTGGGTGGGGTGAGGGATTACTCATGTGCAAAAGAAGGATTTTAGGGTTAGGGGTGTAGCTCTATGGTAAAGCGCATGCTTAGCGTGCATGAGGCCCTGGGCCGGCTGTTTAACTTCAAAGACATTTCACGTACATAAAAAGTAACAGTCAAAAATAAGGAAAATCAGAATAGAGGAGGGAAACTAGGCAGAGGGAGGAGAGGAGGGAAATGCAGGAGAGTGGGAACTGAATGGCGACTGAAATGGAGTAAATTAAATTCCATGCATATATGACTTTTATCAAAATGAACACCACTGCTATGTATAACTGTAATACTTTAATTTTAAAAAAATTATGAGCTATGAAAGAAAAAAGAAAAAAAGACATCCCTCATATTGCCTAGTAGATATTATAACCCTCTTCTGAACTCTCTCATAAGGGAAAGGAAAGGTTCTCAAACACCACAGACATTTCTAGCTAATTTGAAATTGGCTCACACAGTTTTTAAAGCTTTTTCTTCCTAATGACTGATAGTTTTCTTCTTTCATTGTTATTTTTTTCTGTTTTATTTTGTTTGCAGTTCTGGGATTATACCCAAGGCCTCCTGCAAGAGCTGTACCACTGAACTACATCCATAGCCCAATAGTTTTCTTGAAAGTGGGGGGTTTTATTAAAGCATTTCTAATACTTCTGGCATTTTTGACAGGCCTCAGAATCATGCAGAATAAATAATCTTCAGGGATGATCAGATTTGGTTATTTTCAGACATCATTAGAGATGGCAGGAATAAAATGGGTATCACGCTTGTGTCTCTGTCAGGTGTTACTGTCCCTGCGGGAGGAGCTGTGTAGAAAGCTGAGCATCCCCACTGACCAAGTTGAGCTGAGCATGGGCATGTCCATGGACTTCCAGCATGCAGTAAGTGTCCTTCTGGGTACCCTTTTCTGCTTTAGAGTAGGGTCCAAAAGGATGAAGCAGAAATAGGTTTCTGGTAGGTAAACTTTTGAAATGCCTCCTTGCAGATTACTCAGTCCCAGGAATTGTCAACTATTCTAAGAAAATTTATAGACGGTACAGCCTAACATCTAATTTTCAAAAATTCAGTATAATTTCCTGAGTGTAATCTAAAAGAAAATAAGAAACTATAGGCTGGGAGGATAGCCCAGTGGTAGAGCACATGCGTTAGCATGCACTAAGCCCTGGGTTCAATCCTTTGACACCAAAAAAAGAGAAATTCACTAATTTTTCATCATGTAAACACCAGGGCATGAATATATGACAGTATTTTTTTCTTGTCTTTTTCTTTCTTTCTTTTTTTTTTTGTGGTGTGCCCTATTGTTTGGTACTGGGGATTGAAAAAAGGGGTGCTTAACCACTAAGCTACTCCCCAGTCCTTTTTCATATATTATTAGAGACAGGGTTTTG